AACTATACATACAGTAGGTGCTCACTGAGACAACTATACATACAGTAGGTGCTCACTGAGTCAACTATACATGCAGTAGGTGCTCACTGTGTCAATTATACATACAGTAGGTGCTCACTGCGTCAACTATACATACAGTAGGGTGTTCACTGAGTCAACTTTCTGCACAGGTTTCCACACCTCTCCTTTAGTGGTCTCAGAAAACAGACCCAAGGACCTGAATAAAGTTCTTAGTCTGGTGGGAACACTTGGAAGTCTGTATGCTAACTCTATCAGACTCTAGCCACTTCCCGCCATGTCTGCTGGGACAGAAAGACCTCAGCCTACAGGCGTCTGCAGCTGTGAGAGTAGGTTTTGCTGACTTGGCTAAAGAACCTCCGAGGTTGCAGATTGGCAGGTGGGCAGGACCCACAAATAGGAAGATGCTGCAGTGATCTTGGTGCTTTTCTATATCTAACCCGGACCCTCTTCCCACCCTCCCAAACCCAGGCCCTCCACCCAGCTGTACCGTGGTGGGGTTGATGGCAAACTTGCCCTCTCCATCTACGAGGCTGTACTCGATGAGGGCAAAGTTGCCTGAGTCGGCGTCAGTAGCGGACACTGTCAGGATCACCGTACCCACAGGCACATCCTCAAAGATGGCTTCCTGGAGCCCAGTGGGCAGGGAGAGAGAGTAGACCAAGGTCAGTCCTGGAGCCTCTTATACTAGGAGCTCATTGCTGCAGAAAACCCAGGGGATTAAGCTGTTCATGGGATGGTCACTCCTAGGGGCCCAAGAGGCTTGCAGGGAGTGAGAGATGGCCAAAAGGCCCTCAGAAATTAGCCCAGTCCTGGACCCAACTGGTTAGCCTGACCTGGTAAGCGGGATGGTCAAAGACAGGGTTGTTATCATTGATGTCCACAATCTCCAGGTAGACAGGGATCTCAGCTGCACGGGGTGGTGACCCATTGTCTGCAGCCCTGACAGTAAAGTTGAGCCAGTGTACTTCTTCATAGTCCACTGTCCGGTTGGCAATGACCTTTCCTAAGACACAAATACACCCACTGTCATTCCTCACGCATGGGGAGCTCTCCAGGCCAAGTGTGGTCCCCTTCAGAAGGGTGGCTAGGCAGCACTGCTCAGTGGCAGGTCAGAGAGCCAGGAGGGACTGGTATCAGTGGCTCTCCTGACTTGGGGGACTGGGTGAGCCTTTTTACACACTAATGGGGTGCGCCTCCTCTGCTCCCTAAGTAACTGACAGTAAGTAGGAGCTTGGGGTGGTGGAGAGGGCAGTGTGGCATCCCAGGCTACCAGCAGACCAGACCTCAGGAACATTTCCACCCACACCCAAAACTAGGCACATCACAGTCTCTTCTAGTGTGGAAATCTGGGAGAGAGTAGGATATTAGCCTCCTGGGATCTGGCCCAGCCCAACTGAAGGGTGAGAAGCAGGCATGGACACATCTTCCCAGCACTTCTTTGGTGGATTTCTGACTTACCTGCAGAGGAGTCTTCCAGCTGCACATAACCTGGGGGCACGATGTACAGCAGGGTGTAGGTGATCAGCCCATTGAGGCCCTTGTCGGGGTCCACAGCTGCCACAGCAATGAGTGTGGTGCCTGGGGTTGCCCCCTCTAGAACCCGCTCTGTGTAGTAGGTGATCCCGAAGGGCTTGAACTGGGGTGTATTGTCATTGACGTCCAGAACGTTGATCGTCAGCTTGGCTGGGGTCAAGGGGAGATGGGCAGGTGAGGGGACTCTAATGTGGTGGACTCAGACCTTGCTAAACCTCAGTCAAGCCCAGAGAGGATAGCAGATCTCCCAGCCCTCCTACTACTCCCTCACACTTGACCCGTCCCTCAGGTTGTGGCATGGGATATTTCCCTCTCGTTTGGGTCACTTACTCTTCCACAAAAGAAAGGACATGGATTCTACCAACTGGCTGAGTGACCTGGGTGGAACCCCTTAATTTCCTAATCTGCTCAATGAGGTAGGACTTTGTTGTTAAATGCTGTTGAGTCACTTCTGACCCACAGCAACCTTATATAGGGTTTTTGAGGAGAGGCTTTTGAGTTTGAACTGCCAACCTTGTGGTTCAAACCAACTTTGCGGTCGAGCGCTTATCCTACAACACCACACCAGGACTCCAGGATAGGACTAGATGGTCATTAAGATTCAGTCCGCTTCCGATGTAAGTCACCCCCCTCTACATAACCAGTCTTTTTTATTGTTGCCTTTTGGAGTTTGGGACACATAGAGGAGGACCAAGTCAGCCCTTCCTTCCTGAGAACTTGGGCCTCTGGGTTGTGAAGATAAGAGGCCACTGCTACTCATAGGGGAAAGACAAGGCTTTCTGCTCCCGCAAAACATTTATAAAGCCCTGGAAACCCTACATGGGGTTGCTATGAGTCCATCACACTTAACAACCAATCTGCCAAGCTGGCTCTCCACCCCAGCAGCTGTCACATTTTGTGGCAAAGGCCACCCCATTCACAGTCCCACCCCTGCTCAGCCCAGAGAGAATCCTCAAGCTGTTTTGGTTGTGAGCAGCCTATGTACCCTCTCTTCTCTACCCTCCCTATGCTGTGGCCCTAAGCAACCTTTCTCTGATCCTCCCATGGCTGTAACAGACCTTGTCACTGCTTCCTATTAGATCAAGAGATTCCTGTCCCACATCTCCTCCTGTCACAGTTCTGGCAGCTGCATTCCTTTGAACCCTGTCTCTTTGAACCCATCCTTTCTTAAATCCCCTGGTGTGGTGCTGGACTTCAAGGACAGTGGTTCAAGCTCACCTGTTGCTCCTCGGAAGCCCTATACAGGGTTGCTATGGGTTGGAATCAACTTCTACAGTTGCACAAACATTCTTCTCATTTTTGAGCCAAGGGGTTCAGACCACACACAATTCTGGATTTGGATTCCCTCACTGCTGAGCTCACAAATAGCTGGGCCACGTGGGCCACTCTAAGCCTCATTGTAACTTACTGTAGTATTACTTGATTCCCGGCAGCCCAAGTCCTTCTGTTGTTCCCTTCCTGCCTGCTCCGCCGCCCCTCAGTGTCTGCCTCTGGCGCAGTCCCTTGCCCTGATTGGCTCTGAGTAATCAATGGGAGATGTCTGCAGGGCACCTTACCATTTGGCACACTGACAGCACGCTCTGGTAGGTCGCTGGCATTGTCAATCACTGACAAAGTGACCTCGTAGGCAGCAACCAGCTCCCGGTTTAGCGGGGATTTCACCATTACAGATCCTGTTGACCAGACCAGGTCAGGTTCAGCTTCAGGGGAACCCCCCTAAAATCTGGGCCTCACGGGGGGGGGGGTGCTCCTGGCCCACCCTCCCGATCCCCACAGAGGAGAAGGTCCCTAGTGGATCTTGGGACTTAATGGTCATCTCATCTTTGACTGGGATGGTCTCATTGTCAACTGTAAGCCCCCACTCAATGAATACTAAGTGAGTGTCCTTGGACAAGTTATTTAAGCTCCATTTCCTCATCTCTAACTTGGGAATAATTGCAGTACCTACCACATTAGAAAAATCCAATGAGTTGCATTTGTAAAACGATTACAACAGTGCCTGGCACACAGTAAGCGTTATGTAATTATATGTTTAAAAGATGTTTGTGTTAGGGGCGATCAAATATGAAAGAAGGCCCTGAATAGCTGAAAAGCCTTGGGTGGGGGATAGGCTCTGGGTGGGGTGGGAGGGGCAGCCCCCAGAGGGGGCAGTGGTTGAATAGGCCAGACACCCCAGAGGCCTATCCCTGGGTCCTGGTTAAGTGGGCAGTTGATAGGGAAAACGAGTGGCAGGGTCTGTTTTGGTATTGATGAGGAATTGTTTCCTTCCCTCATGCCTGCTGCCTTCCAAAGTCTCAGCCTACCTCCCAGAAGCAGACAGGAAGCCTCAAGAAGCGTGGGGCTTGGCATGGACAGATCTAATTTGGTGACGCTAAGGCTAAGCTCTGCTAGGACCTTTCTTCCTGCCCACTGGAGGGCTTGTAAGGGCTTTTTTCCTTTCCAGCTCTTTTTATGCAAGGGATGGGGAGGGGGGCACTCTGGGATTCCCCTTCCCCCTGTTGGGCTTCTGTCCTCTGCAGGTCCCCAGCCAGGGGCAGTCACTTACCCTGGGCCGCCTCCTCCTCCTCCTCCTCTTCCTACTCTCGCTCCCAGTCCCCCAGGCTGGGGAGCGAGGATGGGGAGAGGGCGGCTGCATTCAGTCTGCAAAGGCTGGGCCACGACCTAGCCCAGGCCCCACAGGACAGAAGGGGTGAGGGTGTGTGGTAGGCATGGAGGAAGGCAATGGGGTGAAGCACAGAGGAAATGAGGTGGGAAGTGATAGAGAAACAGAGCTCAAACCTGCAGGCCTGCCAGCCGTGAGGAAGAGAGAAGAGGGTTAACATCAATTAGTTCAGGGTGCAGTGGGGATGGAGCAGGGTGGGGCTTGGGAACGTGGATGTTCAGAGCTGACCAGGGGAGGGGGTGTGAAAGGAAAAGGTAAGAGCAGGCAGGGGGTGGTGGGTGAAGGCAGAGGGGAAGGGGGCCTAGGAAGCAAGTGGAGGCTCAGTAGGAGTGGAGAAAATGGGAGTGGGGCTAAGGGAGGGAAAGTGGGAAAGGAGGCGGGGAGAGAGCAAGGAAGAAGGAACAGAGAAGACACTGGAAAGAAAAATACAGAAAAGAGAGTCAGTTGTGGGGAGGGAGAAGAGAAAAGTGGGAGAGGCATTAGCATAGCATAAAGTTGCAAGGGCATGGAGCAGCTCTCCAAGGTCCTGAACAATAAATGTGGCCTGGGAATGTTGCTAATCTGGGACATGGTTGATTCTATTTACCTTCTCCCAAGCGAAAGGAGCTCTGGTAGCGTAGTGGCTACGAATCGGGCTGCGAACCACAAGGTCAGCAGCTCGAAACTACCAGCCACTCTGTGGGAGAAAGATAAAGCTTTCTGCTCCCATAAGATTTACAGCCTCGGAATCCCTATATAGGTTTGCTATGAGTCGGAACTGACACCATGGCACATAACCACTACCACCAAGTGATGACACGTAACAGTAACACCAATAAAGAAGGACCTCCTGATATGGTGCCATAGGACAAACATTGGACTGCTAACTGGACCTTGTACAGGGTTGTTATGAATCAGAACCCACTTGATGGCACTTAACTACAAGAAGGTGTGCCTACAGGGGCCCTGATGGCATAGTGGGTTATGCATTGGGATGCTAACTACAAGACCAGCAGTTCGAATCCACCAGCTTCTCCAAGGGAGAAAGAGGAGACTTTCTGCTCCTGTAAAATGCCGACTTGAAGGCAATGGGTAAGGTGTGCCTCACATGCATGTGAAAGCCAGACACTAGATAAGGATCTGAAGAAGAATTGATATTTTTCAATTATGGTGCTTGTGAAGAATATTGAATAAACCAAGAACTGGCAGAAGAACAAACAATTTGTCTTTGAAGAAGTACAACCAGAATGTTCCTTAGAAGTGAGGATGGTGAGCCTTCCTCTCACATACCTAGCACATATCATCAGGCAGGATCAGTCCCTGGGGAAGGACACCATGCTTGGTAAAGTAGAGGGTCAGTGAAAAAGAAGAAGATCTTCAGTGAGATAACGGGATTAAATGATGTGGTGGTCGTTGCCAACAATGGACTGTAACAAAGCAACAACTGAGGATGGCACAGGACAAGCCAGTGTTTTACTCTGTTGCTATGAGTCAGAACCAACAGGATGATGCCTGACAACAATGCTTACAGAATATTTTTCTTGTTTTTCTTTTGGATCTCAGGCACAGACTGAGTTAATTGTATTCCTTGGTTCATTGAGCTCTATTGATCATTGGTGCTTCTATTGTTTTATGATTGTATCTATTTCCTCTTATACTTTTCTCCCCTTTTAAAAACTATTGCATTAAGAATCACTGTAATGTACTGAAGTGTATTTGTATTTGAAGTGTTTCTACAAATTGTGTATTTTTTTGTGTATATATTTTATATTTAATTGTGCATGTATTTTACATTTATACAAATGTATTGTAATATGTATCTAATCCAATTTTTCACTCTTCTCAGTAAGTGCTCATCACTTAAGACCTGCCCACATTGTTCTGTGTACATCAAATCTATTGTTTCTAACTGTTGCCTGGTACTTCCTGGTATGTGTCTACCGCATTTTGTTCCCCAGTGTCCTAGGATGGGCACCTTAAGTGACCTTTAACTCACCACCACCAATAATACTGCAATGAACATTTTTGGAAAGCCCCATTACTGGCCTGAGAATTTCTTCGGGATTTATATCCAGGAGCAGAGTTTCTGGGTCATAGAATATGAGTGTACTTTGTGCTAGACTGTTGTCTAAACGGTGGAGTCAGTCATGAATGAGAGTCCCAATATCCCCACATTGCCACCAACTCTCAACATTATCCAGCATTCTAAAGTCTGTTCATTGCTTAAGGAAATCTGATAGTTCACTGCTGTTTTAGTATGCATTTCTCAGATTACCAATGATTCTAAGCATTATATCATAGCCATGTTAGTTTCTCTGTCATTCCTGGGCCTCTCAAGAAGTACTCTTAAAAGGTCCCTCATTTCCCAGAGAAACAAAAACATTGAAGGCAAAAGATAGAGTCATCAAAATTTCATGAGATCATTCGTATAGATGGTGAAAGACAAATCATAACTCTCTTGGTTTCATGACAATGTAAGAAAATCATTAATGGTACAAAAATATGACTTACAGATCATCTACATGGCCAGCATGCATTTAAAGAAAGGATTCAACTATCTAGTTATTAAAGAAATGCTTGCTTATTAAAGCAAGGTACCATTTTCCTATAAAACTGAAAACATGCAAAATACATACTACTTAATGCTGGCAAGAGTGTGGTGATATGGGCACTCTCAAATAATGCTAGTGGAGAGGGAGAATCTGCAAAGAGGAGAAAGAAGAGAAAGCAGAGAGAAGAAAGGAGCAAGGGAGAAGGGCAAACAGAGGAGAGAATATGGTGCCAATAGGGGAGAGAAGAGGAGCAATTAGGGAAAGAGGGAAGCAGAGAACAAAGGGACCAGGACAGGGCATCAGAAATGAGGGGTAGGAGGGAGCCAGCCCTTGTACCTGTGTTGATATTCACGGCAAAAGTGTCCTCCTGGTCGGGCACCAGGCGGTTAGTGTCATCCTTGGCTATGATGCCAATGATGTGGTACTCCAACTTTGGATTGAGGTCGCGGTCTATGGCGGTGATGTTGGCAATGACCGTGCCTGGTTTGGCCGACTCCAGCACGCTCACCGTCTCAATGGGGTTGAGGAACTCAGGGCGGGAGTCATTGATGTCATCAATGAGGATGGAGATGATAGCTGTGCCCGAGAGAGGGACGCTGCCCCGGTCAGTGGCCACAACTGTCAACCTGTAGGATTCCTGCTCCTCCCTGTCAACGGTGACATTGCCGACACGAATGACTCCGGTGACTGGGTGAATGAGGAAGCGGTCCTGAGCTCCTGCTTCTATTCGGTAGACCAGTTCCCCGTTGAGGCCACTGTCCTGGTCTGTGGCTGTGACTTGGAGGACCGAGAATCCTGTGGGGTTGGGAATGGGGAGGAGCTGAGCAAGCCACAGTGGTCCCCTCTCAGAGCTTTTACCAAATACATTCTCTTCAGAGTTAATGAAAATATTACTTTAAAAATTACATAACGAATTCCCAGAGCATTCAGGATGTAAGAAAAACTCTTAAAAACTCTTAAACCTTAAAAAGATAGGTAACTCAAGATTAAAAAAATAGTAAGAAACCACACAATTATTGTGAAAATTCAACAAATCCTTAACTTCCCCATGATGAATAATTTCTTTGATATTCATTGAAGTCCCAAGAATCAACTTCTTTCAAATGTGATGGTTCGGTGCTCCCATTTGGCTGGTGCCCCACAAAAGTGCTCAGCCTGAGAACCAGGTGACCACACATTGCCCTTACTGCAGAGAAGAATTATATATGCACACGTTCTTTTCCTGTCTGAACGTGTCTTCTAGAACCCTTCTAGCGTCAGAGTGGGACAGGACCTCAGTCCTGTCCACAGAGTGGGACAGAGATCATCTGGTCTAACCCCTCAATAAAAACAAACAAAACAAAAATGTAATATGATTTTATAACATTAGAAATGAAGATTTGATTATATATATAGACATAGGTATGTGTTGCTTTTATGTTCATTTGGGCAACACCCAACTCAATATATGTCCCTGGGCTGAAGCACCCAGGTGTCTGAGTGCCTGTATGCCAGATCCTTGTCCTGAGGTCCAAGCCCCACTTCTGTCCAGCTGCTTCCATCTACTGAAGGAAGCCCAGCTCCCTTGGCTCCTGTTACTCAGCATAACTGTTGTTGTTAAGTCCCACTGAGTTGGTTCTGACTCATAGCAACTCAGTATAGGGTTTCTGAGGAGCAGCTGATGGGCTTGAACTGCCAACCTTGAGGTTTAAATTGATCTTGTGGTTCAGTATTTATCCTACAGTGCCACACACCAAGACTCCTTTATTGTTGTTAAGTGCCATCGAATTGGTTCCGACCCATAGCGACCCTGTATAGGGTTTCCAAGGAGCAGCTGGTGAGCTTGAACCACCGGCCTTGCAGTTCAAACGGCTTTGCAGTCTGGCACATTGACCCACAGCGCCACACCAAATTAAGTACAACTCAAACAGAACTAAAGTACAACAAAATGAAGCACTGCCTAGTCCTGCACCATTCTCACAACTGCTGCTCTGCTTGAACCCACTGCTGTAACTCTCTGTTCCTCAATCTTGCTGAGGGTCTTCTACTTTACCAAGCATGATGTCCTTTCTCCAGGGATTGGTCCTTCTTGATAACAGGCCCAAAGTATCTGAGGTGAGTCTTGCCATTCTTGCTTCTAAGGTGCCTTTTGGCTATACTTCTTCCAAGATGAATTTGAGCTTCTGACAGCCCATGGTATACTCACTATTCTTCACCAATATCTAATTCAAAGTCATCAATTGATTTTGTTTGCATTTTTGAGTGTTGTTTGCTGCCATCAAGGACTCATGGTGACCCATGAGATGCGGAGCCTCTTATGCACCAATAAATGTAACTTGGTTGCAGTCTTTCTAGAAGATGCTCAGGACTTACATATCATGAATGTTTACTTAGCAGTTCTACTTCCAGAGGGTTCCAGAGACACTTCAGAGATATTACAGTTCCAGACCACGCAAACTGCAATATCTCTAAGGTGTCTCTAGAACCCTCTGGAAGTGGTACTACAGCCATATCAGCAATTAAAAAAAAAAATACATTTTTCATGCTTACAATTTTATAGGAAATGGTTACTTTACTTCACATTCTTGGATTATTAGTGAGATTGAGCTATTTAAAAATACTTAATGGAATCCTGTTGTGGTGCTGTAAGATAAGCACTGGACTGTTAACTGCTAGGTCAGCGTTTCAAGCCCACGAGTCGCTCCTTGGAAAACCCTACACAAGCTCGCTAAGAGTTGGAACTGACCTGACAACACTTACCAATCAACAGTTGGTTGTTCGTTATTTTTTCTGGCAATGCATTTAAATTATGTAATTGTGATAATTCGTGACAAATTTTTTGTTTGCTGTTTGCCCTTAAATGATTTAAAGAAGTTTAAATTTGTATGCACAGAAATTGAACATTCTCCAGTCCTGGACTGCTAACTGCAAGGTTGGTGGTTCAAATCCACCAGTCACTTCTTGGAAACCCTACACAGGGTGGCTATGAGCCAGAATCAATTCAAAGGCACTTAGCAACAACATTTATCAACTCTTTTGTTTCATTTTAGAATCTTCTTATTTAGAAATCAAGTAAGTACTCATCTAAATTTTCTTCTTCTTTCACTGTTTTCTACTCTTTTGTGTTTTAAAAACATGTGCCTGGATTTATAGTGTCTAATAAGACACTATAATGCAAGAATAGTGTAATAATACGTATTAGTGATAGATTTTTCTCACACAAAAGAGTATATTTTCTCTGTTGGTCTCACAGCATCCTGTATCCCTTTATCATACAATATTGTTGTTGCTAAGTGCCATTGAGTTGGTTCTGACTCATAGCGACTCTGCACAGGGTTTTTGAGTGACTGGTGGGTTTGAACCACTGCCATTGTGGTTAGCAGTCAGTGCTTATCCTACAGCACCACACCAGGACTCTTTAATTTAATCTGTATTGAACTACCTTCTCCATACTCATATCACACAGTTTTAAATATTGTAGCTTTGTATTGTGTTTTAATAGAGTTTTGGGATGGTGCAATCAGTTAACACACTTAGCTGCTCCCTGAAATGTTGGTGGTTCTAATCTACCCAGACATGTTTCAGGAGAACAGTCTGCAATCTGTTTATGAAGAATCAGTCATGGAAAATCCCGTAAAACACAGATCTACTCTCCTATACATTGGGATCCTTATGAGTTGGAATTGCCCTGGTAGCAATTGGTTTAATTTTCTTTAATATCTGATAAAGCAAGCCTAACTCTATCATTAGACTTACTTTTCTAAAAACATCATATTGTTCTAGATGTCCTTTAATATCCAATTCTCCCCCTATCACATTTTTATTTTAATGGGAACCACACACTGATCCTATCTTTCCATCCAGGAACATAGATGGAACACAATAAAATAATCTTATTTTAAAGGCAGAACACTGAGGATGAGGTAAGGGAGCGGGGGCAGGTCTAGGCCTCTGGCTCCCCTCTGCACCCTATGGGCTTATCCTTCTCCCCATTGGAGATGGGTTACCTGCCCAACCTGTGAGGTTCCATTCCCACAGCTACCAACAGCACCTGCAGGCAATGGCATGGGGCTTCCTGGGGTGGGTCTTCTTGCTTACCTGGTGGGCAGTTCTCCAGTAGGTGGACGGTGAGGGCATTAGGACTGAAGGTGGGCCAGTTGTCATTGTCATCCAGGATGGTGACCAGCAGGTCGGCAGTGCCATTGAGCAGCCCGATGTCCTCGGCCAGTAGGAGCAACTCCAGGATGGGAGGTGAAAAAGCCTCTCTGTCAATGATGACCCCTGATCTCACTGTCACCACACCTGTCATCCAGTGCCACCAGCCAGGGAGGAACCAAGGAAAAGGGGTGTGATGGGAGACAGGGACAGAGTCAAGAGGGAAGGATGGAGAGAGACAGGGAAGCAGTAGGGAGGACATGGAAGAGAAGCAGAGAAACTTCACATCAACACAAGGTCCAGCAACTCATATTGGGGGTGTGGCTACTACGTGCCAGGTGGTGTCTCTTGTGGCTTTCCTCCCTGGGTGTCCTCTGCAGTCCTTGAGAGTCCTCTCTGGGATAAGTGACCAGGGCAAAGAACTGCCCTGTTCCACTGAGAGACATGTTAGTGTACCCCTCCCTGTTACCACCTGATGGACCAGATTGATATTGTGTACATTCTGGGAGTTTCGGTGCTGGTGCCAGGTCAGAATTGCCACTCTGACTGCTTCTGACTATGTGCGTGGAGGAATGTCTGAGCACGTTTATGCACAGATGGGGGCTGCGGGGTGTGCTATCTGCCAAAGTGGTATTGGCAGACCCTGCCTGTCTGTCCCCTACCCCTCACCCTGGGGTGACTTGATGCAGGCATTAGACGGGGCTCAGGGCTGGAGAAACAGGGTTTCAAGGAGGAGAGCTGGGATCCAGCACTGAGAAAGTGGGCAGAGGGCAGCGGGGGCCTCACCGGTGCTGTTGTGGATGTCAAAGAGGCCACTCTGGGCCCCCAGAAGTTGGTAGGTCACCACAGCGTAGATGTCTTGGTCTTTATCTAGGGCCAGGATGGGCCCATTGAGCACCGTGATGGGGGTCCCTGGGCAGAAGGGAGAGGGGTCACTTCAGGGTTGTCTGGGCCCCCCTCCCCGCTCCCTGCCCTTCCCAGTGAGCCATGACTGAGGATGGATGAGAGGGGAGGAGAAGGGGAGAGGGGGAGGGAGGCCCCGGGGCGGGGCTGCGGCAGCCTTGGCAGACTGAACGCAGGTGCCTGGGGAGCGACCTCAAAACCCTGCTGGGGAGAAAACACAACAGTGGTGAGCAAGCCCTCGGCCCTGGCCCGCCCGGAGCCACGCCTGCCTTCCCAGCAGCCTTTGAGGCTGGTTACTCCTGGAAGGGTCTGGGGATTCCCTGACACACAGGTGTACAGGCTGCTCTATGCACAGGGGTCTTTCCATACCAGGTAGGAGCACTCAAAACATTGTGGCTCACCTGGCCATGAGCTTGGTTACCTCTGCAGATGTGCACATCTGCCTAATTGAATGTGTGTGTAGGCATCCATGACTGCATGTGTCTGTGTACCTGAGTACGTTCACACATGTGTCAGGTAGGGACACACAATAGCACATGTGTGAGCATCTACACAGGTGAGGCCTACGTGTATCTCAGCTCATCTCTGACTCAGCACTCAAGTTTCAGGGAGTGAGGAGGCTGGAGGAGCAGTGGGGCCTCACGTGGGGACATGAAAGAGGCTGTCCTGTGAAGGTAGGTGTGGGGGAAGAGGGCTACACTGACCTGTTCAAGGTCCCTGACTACAACCAGTCCTCATACCTTAAAAGCTTCTCTGGAGGGAATAGGCACTCTCAGACCACAGCAGAGACCCATAAACTCCCTGGGTACCTCTTCTACCCAGAAGCCTTTCTGAGAGGCCTGGTGGTCCCAGCCCACCAGTCCCTCGGGGCTGTGCTTCTCTCCCCCCTCCTGTGTCCTTTAGAACCCACTGGGGTCTGTGTTCAGCCACATTAGGAGGCTGCCCCCAGCCAGACCTCAGCTGAGCCTCATCAGGCAGGAAGTGGGTCCTCAGGCATGGGAGGCCCCTGTGGCCCCTGGCAGTGGGCCCCGCACCTACCAGCAGGAGAGTTCTCCATCACTTCCGCCTGGTAGGTGCTCTCAGTAAAGAGGGGGTGGTTGTCATTCTCGTCCGCAAGAAAGATGAGCAGAAAGTCAAAATCCTGTGGGGAGTAGGAGGGGAGCAGGTTGTAGGCCACATTCTAATGAAGGTCCACAGTGGGAGCGGAGCTGGGAGGTTTGGGTAGGGGTGGGTGGGTTAAGACACAGAGTCTATGATCAAAAAGCCCAAACCAGGGTCCAGAGCTCCGCCGCTAGCAGCTCACTGGTGACCTTGGCCAAGTCATTTCCACTGTCTGGATCTCAGTTTTTCAGCCTGACAATGGGGTATAAACTCCTTCATGGAGGTGTAGTAAAGTGCATAGGAGACCAAACCAAAACCATTTCCGACTAATAGCGACCTTAGGAGTTTCTGAGACTATAAATCTTCACAGGAGCAGAAAATCTCAATTTTCTCTTATGGTGCACCAGTGGGTTTTAACTGCCGACCTTGTAGTTAGCAGCCCAATGTCTAAGCCACAGCACCATCAAGATTCCTTTAGAGGAGACAGAGTGTGAAAGGTATTTATAATCATGTCTTACCTAAGTCCTGGTGTGACACTGTGGATTAATGCACCAGACTGCAAATCTATTTGAACTGCAAGGTTGGCAGTTCAAACTTACCAGTCGTGCCTCGGAAACCCTATATAGGGTCACCATGGGTCAGAACTGACTCGACGACACTTAACAAAAGCAACATCTTATGTAATTAAGGTTTTCAGACAGAAAGCTGAGTCTTGGTGTTAACATTTCAAGGCCTGGCTGATGATACCTGGTTAGATCTCACCCAAACTTGCCATTACCACACTTTACACCTTTCAAACCATATTTACTTTCCTCTCTACTCAGTTCCCCTGGGGGTTATCTCTATTTCAGAAATGAAGAAACCAACACCCAGCGGTGTTGTGACCCCTCTGAGGAGGGATCCGACCCCAAGTCTCCCGATTCCTACCATTCAATGCCACTATTTTTGAAGATAACCCAGGTCCCTCCTAAAGCACCCAAGGAAGAAGGAATAAACATGAACAAGGAAGAGAAAAAAATTAGAAGAAGAAAACCAGAAGAAAAAAGGAGGAAGTAGTAATCCTGGTGTGGTACAGTAAAATAAATGCTGGACTGCTAACTGTTAAGACTGGCGGTTCAAATCCACCAACCACTCCTTGGAAACCCTATAAGCAGCCACTATGAGTCAGAACCAACTCAACGGCACTTAACAATAGAAAGTGAGAGAAGGAAGGAAGAGAGGAGCACAGAATGAGAGGCAGGTAGCCACTGAGACAAGGAGGGCAGTGGGTTGTGAATTAGAAGTAGAGCTGCGGTTAGCCAAGCTTAAGAAGGCCCCATCAGGGTCCTGCCCCAGACTTCACAGCTCCCAAGGGACAACAGCTGTGCGGCACCTACTGCCTCTTAATAATGAAATGTTGGCGCCTTTGTTGTATGAGGAGAACACCAACTGGACCATGCAGTTCCTTCCAGGACTCAGATGCTTGTAAGCACATACGTGACTATGTGCACAGGTCGAAGGTGGTTTAGGAGGAAAAATAATAGCTGGTTATTTATTGAGTGTTTACCTCCTGCCAGGAATCCTAGTGGCACTGTGGGTTAAGCACTGAACTGCTAAGCTTAAAGTTGGTGATTGAAACCCACCAGCTGCTCCTCGGGATAAAGACGAGATTTACAGTCTCAGAAACTCTGAGAAGTAGTTCTACTCTTTGTTATAGATTCACTATGAGTCAGAACGGAATCAGCAACATGGGCTTTGGGCTTTGTTGCTTTTCAGCCATTGTATGGGACACCTGAAACATATAGGCTCCTCCTCTGATCCTCTCCAGTTTCTCTCTTCAGATGAGAAGCTGAATGCTGAGAGAAATTAGCTTGCCAAGTCGCACACCTGTGACAGGTAGCACTGGAATCTGAAACCAGCACTTGTGGACTCTAAAGCCTGCGTGTCTAAACCCCGGACCATTGTATTTCCTGAGGGGGAGGAGATATTTACTCTGTTCACCACTACCTCCACCTCTGTTCCCACCCAGGGCCACCAGCCTCACCCTCCTGGCTATGCGTGGGTTCTCCGGGTTGTCCTTCACCGAGATGGTCAGCTTGTACACTGGGTTCTGTTCACGGTCCAGGGGCCGGTTCACGGTGACAATCCCTGTCTGGGATGTGGAGGGCTAGTGAGCCAACATTGGGCTCAGACCCATAAATGGCCCCCTTGCTCTGCCTGCAGCTCCAGGACTGGCTATAAATCCAACCCCCCATCCCCTGCTCCCTAATTGCCAAAGAAATGGTGTAAAGGCCAAGTCTGGTCTAGATTCACTGATGCACACGACAGGGAGGCAGGTCTGGCTCTAGGTGGGCCTCAGAGATGGCTCAGTGCGGAAGCCCAAGATTCCATGTTTCCCCCAGAGACTCCCTCATTCCAATGGAGGGAGAATGTCTGATGAGAGACTGGAGCAGAAGAACCCCAGACAGTGACAGCAGAAACTGAGCCTCGAGGGCAGGGGCCTTTTTCATAGGAACTCCCTGTTGGGCCTTCAGGGTCAGTCTTGGCTCTACCGTGGCGTTGATGAGGAAGGCCCGCTCTCGGTTGCCAGCGGTGATGTTGAAGGTGAGCAGCGCATTACAACCACTGTCTGCATCACTGGCCAGGATGTGGGTGACAAAGCTGGAGACGGGGGTATTCTCACTGATGGTGATGTTCATGGGCAGGTTCAGCAGCACGGGGTCATTGTCATTGATGTCCAGCACTCGGATCCACACCAGCATCTGGAGGCCAGAGGAAGAGGTGGGGAGTAAGTGGTGCCAGAGCAGGACAGGGACAGGAGGGAGGGTATGTGGGAGAAGGTGAGGAAGGGAGAGGAAGAGAAAGTGATGATGAACCTGAGGGCAGAGGAGAAGGAGTGATGGATGGTATGGGGCAGGACAGCAAAGGAGAGCTAACTGAGGGAGAAGGTGAGAAGAAAGTGTAAGAGAAAGATATTTGAAAAGGCAAAAGAAAATGTCAGTGAGGATGAAGAGAGAAGCAGGGAAGGTAACCAGACAGAGTTGGGGCAGACGGGTGGGCAAATATCTGAGCTGGGTGGGGACTGGGTGCAGAGGTATGGCTGTGGCCCAGACTCCACGTACTGAGCCCTGGGACAACTTGGAGCTCTGATAAGGGTGCTGAGTTCTACCACGGGGGTGGCGGTATTTACAGGAGAAGATGAGAAGAGGCCCCTCTGCAATGTGGAGGCAGCCTTGTGGGGAAGCCAGTGGAAGGGGCCCCCCAGACTCACCGTGGAGCTGAGGGGTGGCACCCCCCTGTCCCGGGCACTGATGGTCAGGTTGTAGAAGGCGATGGTTTCCCGGTCCAGCTCTACCTCCTTCCGGACTCTCAGCACCCCCTCCACAGGAGAGATCAGAAACTCCCCTGGGTGGGTCCAGGAGAGTTTATAGTTAGCAGGCATGGCCAGGAGCTATGGGGAGCCCAGGCCTCTCCCTGCTTCCACTAGCAAGTCTTTACTCTTCAGGGGGATACCCAGGTTCAGGTCCTCATGGGACCTACCCAGGACTAGAAGTGCAGAGGCAAGAGACACACAGGTAACTGCTAGGGATGTAAGTGAGCATGGGTCATGATGTCAGACTAATTGGGCTCCTTCCCTGGGTCTAGCTTCACCCATTTGTAGAATAGACAGGGTAATTTCTTTTCATCTGTTCAATGGGCAGGTGAGGGGCTGACCCTGGTTAAAAGTATTATATTGAAAAAAGTGGGGGTTTATTTTCTATAGTCCCTGGGTGGTGCAAGCAGTTCAGCATTTGGTTGCTAACCAAAGGTTGGTGGTTCAAGTCCACTCAGAGGCACATTTGAAGAAAGGTCTGACAACGTACTTGTGAAAATCAGCCATTGAAAATGCTAAGGAGTTCTGACACATACAGGGCTCACCATGAGTCGAGTCTATATGATGTCATCTCAAAGTATCTTATTTCTAAGGAAACCTGATAGTACAATAGAGTTCAACCATTGGCTTTGTAGGAGAAATTCCTAGTAATCTACTTTCATAATGAGTGTTGTTGTAGTTACGTGCCTTCGAATCAGTTTTGACTCATAGCGACCCTGTATAAGGTTTCCAAGGAGCACCTGGTTTGAATTGCCGACCTTTCACTTAGTAGTCCAGTGCTTATTTATCCTACAGTGCCACACCAGGGCTCCATAAAGATTATAGCTTAGAAAACCTTATGAGGCCGTTCTACTCTGTCACATGGGGCTGCTATGAGTCAAAATCTACTCAACAACACTTAACAACAGCAAGACCCTCTTTCTAACCATCAATGATCAGACATTGGTTATTGAAAGTCTTTGTTGTTAACTGCCACGGACTCGGTTCTTACTCACAATGGCCCTGTATAGGGTTTTCAAGGAGCGACTGGTGAACTTGAACCACTGACCTTGCGGTTTAAACAGACCTTGCAGTCCAGTGCATTAACCCACAGCACCACACCCCTCCCAGATACGTCTTGTTTAAACAAAACAAACAAACAGATATTGGAGAGAAGGCAAAGCTTAACAAGAAAAACGTCTTGCTGATGTTGAAGCTGTAGGTGCTGGGGTGGGCAGAGGAGGGAATGGAGTGGCAGGTAAGTCCCACCATTCTCCGTTCATCCCAGGCATTCAGCCACAGGTGGAGCGCAGAGAGGGCTCTCCCAGGCTGAAGGTGGTTCCTTAGCCGTAGTTTGCCCTGACCTGCCAAAGAAACTTCAGCTGACCCTGTGGCTCCATCTTTGTCCTAGCCCTGACTAAGTGACAACATGAGAATGTCTGTCTGAGAATAGGAACTTTGATTCTTAGACTCTGGGTTGGAAGGGATCTCAGAGATAGTCCTTTAGAAGATGAAACTACAGTCCAGAGAACGGTGGTGACTTTTCCAAGTTCAAACAGCAAGTTAATGAAAGAACAGGATTTGAACCCAGGGCTCTAGGTCTGGCCACAGCATCCTTATGGGCATGAGGTCTTTCCAGACCATATTAGTCAGAACTGACCTGGGTAGAAGGCACGGATGGGAAGGAGAGAAAGTTGAGAAAAAGGAGCAGGTAAAGGGTGAATGAAGAGCCATGGTGGCACAATGGGTTAAGCACTGGACTGCTCACAGCTAGTTTGAGTGGTTCAAACCTACCAGTTGCTCCATGGGAGAAAGATGAGGCTCCTGCTGTTATAAAGTTCGCAGTTTCAGAAAGCCAGGGAACAATTCTGGTCTGTCCTAAATGGTCGCTATGAATTGGAATTGACTTGTCAGCCATATTGTTTTGTTTTGTTTGTTTGTGTGTTTGGAGGGTGAGGGGGCAGATGGGAAGGGAGCCAGGGGAGTGAATGGAAGCCCAGTTAGATTGGAGACATTAGGGGGGTGCTCTGGCAAGAAGAAAAGGGTGGGGAAGTGGGCAAGTAACTGGGATGACTTAAGGAAGAGGGGTCATCGTTTTGTACTCCCCTAGGTATTGGGAGAAATTTAATTTTAAGAGCGGGGTATGAGGCCCAGAGTGGGGCATTGACTTGTCCAAGAGCATACAGCACAGGAGCAGGCCAAGTTTTCTCTGCCTGACTTTTCACATCCCATCCCACCATTCCCTGCGCCCAGCTCTTATCGCTGTGATTTATAAACAGCCCGTCAAGTCCTACCTGCAGCTGGGGTTTTCCACTTACTCTTCTGCTCTCCCTTCAGCACCCACAGGCTGGACCCCGCCTGGAGCGAGGAAGCTGCTTGAAGCAGGATTTCCTGAGTGGTGCTCCAAGGTCTCCAAAGAGCTGGGGATTCCCTATCTAGGGGTTTCCCAACCCTCTGTCAGTCCCTGGCCAAGGACACACAGATGGTCTCCTGCCCTCTCTCCAAAGCCAGGGAATATTCCTTCTCCACTCAAGAGTTTCCTGAAGGCTCAGAGGAGACAGTTCAAACATCTGGAGGGCTGGACTCAGACTAGAGTCCCCACAATGTCAGCTCTTGGGGAGCAGGCAGCCCAGCGGCCCCTCCTTGTGAATTACCCTCCTCTCCAGTTTGCTTGCACAGGGTGTGCAAGACCCACCCTTTTCCACATTCTTCTGGAGGCAGAATGCTAAAAGCTTAGGTTTTGGAGTCATTTATATCCAGGTCTATATCCTAACTTCATTTCTGTGTGCCCTTGGGCATGTTACTGAGCCCTGATATTCTCATCTGGAAAATGGGGCTAATGACGAGATGCCATAATAGGGTTGTGTTGGTAATAAGTAGAGTCTGTTTACTGTATGGGTGCTGGATCCACCACTGCTCTTGGTATCATCATGGGACCCTGAATGGAGGCCCAGGCAACTGAAGGAAGTGGGAGCTATCAGGGAGGATGAGGATGTAATAAACGGGCCCAAGAAGTGGGCCTGATCAGAAGGGACAGCAGGAGAGAAAGAGACAATGAAGTGGACTTGACCTGCTTCCATCTGTTCTTTGGCTATACATCTCCTTTTTGGAGCTGGGAGAGCCCAGTCACTTTTGCCGTCTCCCCAGTGATGGGAGTCCCTCGAAGCTCAGGCTGCAGTGGTGGGGAGGGGACCTGTAAGCTGGATGGCTTTGAGCATGTGACTTCATCCCGTGATGAAGTGTTCCTCACCAGCGGCAAGGCTGCCCGCCTCCCTCTGCCCTCTAAAAAGTACAACACAGAAGTGTTTTCTGGGAGAAGCACAGTATTTTCTACCAGGTCTCAGAGACATCTGTGACCTATGCCATGTTCTCAGATTGCACAGTGTTCTCACGATATTCCTATGAAGAAGGGTAAGAAGAGGATTATTTCCATCTTTATGGCTGAGGAAACTGAGGCCTAGAGAGATCATATAAGGTGGGGCCAACTGCCTTGAGATCCTTCCTTGAGGCCTATCCTGCTCTTGAGTAGGGTGGGGAAGAGCCCCTTTGGGTTGTATCTGGCCCAGTTCAGCCCTACTCACCCAGGGGGTCTCCATCCACGATGCTGTACTCCACCTGGCCATTGGGGCCTGAGTCCCGGTCATGGGCCAGGAAAGTCCACACTCTGGGTCCTGGCTGGCTCTCTGTGACATCAAATGGTCCCTCGTAGTTTCGGGGGAAGGTGGGCACATTGTCGTTGATGTCATTCACATTCACAAGCACCTGAGGTAATGGGTGAGGTTAGCCAATTGTCGTATCCCAGCCGGCCCTTGTGTTGGCCTCAGTCCCTTACCTGTAAACTGGACCTGAGCATCCTGCCTTGTGGGGCTGATGCCAGAATCATACAGGATGATGGCAGTGGAAAGACCGGTTACACTATGCATGTAGATGAGTTGTTATCACTACTGAGGACTTTTAATGGGTATACTAATCGTACTGATCATGCTATGAACTTCTAGTTATCACTGCACTATGCTCATTTTACACAGTTTCACTTGTTTTTCTTACACTCATAGGGAATGCAAATGTTATTATCAGGTGAGGAAATAGAGGCTCAAGAAGACACAGTGACTCTCCTAGGACCACACCCGGAAGAGGTGGAGAAGTAGGGTTTGACCAGAATCATGCTCTTCCCATGAAGGGGAGGGAGGTAGGTACCATGACCTGTGTTAGATGCAGCTGCACAGAGAGGCTCAGTGATGTCCTCAAAGTCACACAGCAAGTCTGAGTTGCTGAGACGAGGTCAGGGCTCTTGGATTTAGCCATTCTTCCTGGACACTCAATCTTTCATTCCTCCTCCTGCCATGGGATTTCCTACCTTGGAGTTTTCAGTCCTCTCCCTAACCTCAAGTTGGGGTATATGTTACTATCCACTCACCGTGGTGGTAGAGGTGAGGCGGTGGGACAAGATGGGGCACTGGTCTGTGGCAGTGACGATCAGGGTGTAACGGCCATGGCTGACCTCATAGTCCAGCTCCTTTGCAGCACTGATGACGCCCTGGATGGGGATAGAGAAGAAGCAAGGGTGGCTCAGTGAACAGGAGGTCTGAGCACCCTGGAAATCCTTCACAGAGCACCTTCTGATGTCCCAGCCATGGTGGTAAATCCCTGTTGCCCTTTAGACCAGATTCCACCCCATCTAAGCTTTTCATTCTCTGAGCACCCACACTCCATCTTCTCTCCCACCCCTGTGATGTCATGGGGTTCCCCACCAATCTCTGCCCCTCCTCCTGGACGCATCCGTCAGCTGCTGACCGTGCGTCTGTTGATGCGGAAGGTGTTGATGATGCTGCCTGAGACTATGGCATAGGTCACCGTGCCATTGGGCCCCTCATCCAGGTCCAGTGCTTGAACGGTGATAAGGCTGGCATTGACTGTGTCTGGGCCCTCATCCAACAGCACCTCATAGTGGGACCACTGGAACACAGGTGCATTATCATTTTCATCCACGATGGTCACGTACACGTGCGTGGTGGCCTGTGGAGAAAAACAGAATCAGGCTTCCTGGTCAGGTGGCTAGAGGGGTTGAGGATGGTGGATGTTCTCCTGAGCCAAATTCACTCAGTGTGATCCCACCTCAGAAAGGACAGGAAGTGAGGAGGAGGGAGTCATGGCTTGTGGAGGACAGAACACATTGTTGCTATCTATAGTTGGGTCAGCTTGACTCAATAGAATGCGATACTGCCTGGGGCTTATAAGACAATGGGTCGTTGTGATCCACAGGGTTTTTATTGGCTGGTTTTTGAAGCACATCACCAGGTCTTTCTTCTGAGTCCATCTTACTCTAGAAACCCCACCACAACATGCACGCAAGCCACCACTGGCAGACTGGTGGAAGCCATACATGAGGTGTATTGCCTGGGAATCAAACCCAGGTTCCTCACATGGAAGGCAAGAATTCTACCACTGAGCCATGAAAGTTCATAAGATGGTTTTAAGCCATTAAAAAATGACGAAAAGAAGCAAGCAAGCAAGCAAGCATATGAGACGCCACTAAAAAACAAGCTAGGTAATGGCTAACTTGGCACTTGCTGTGCTACTCCACTGTCCATTGCCCATGACAGACATCACCAATCACAGCACTACTGAAGTCAGATGCAACTTCAATCTCCTTCTCAGCTCAATAGAAGATTTCAAAGGGCAGCTCCAAAAGACAAAGTCAAGTATAATAATGAAATGTGCAAAGACTTGGAGTTAGAAAACCCAAAAATAGAACATGCTTGGCATTTAATCAAGAGGAAAGAACTGAGGAAAAAATTCAAGCCTCGGGTTTCAAAACTGATGGGCAAAATATTGAACGAGGAGTTGCGGTTTGGGCAATAGTAGCGAAAACCAGGTAGGGAACTCTCCATGGTGAAGGGACAGGGATCTCACCAAGGAAGTGCTCATAGAATAACTCCAGAGCTCTGGATCTACCATAAGATCCAGGACGTCAGTTTCCCACACTCACAAGTGAAAAAATCATGATAGTAAGGAAAATACTGCGAGTTAGGAATCTGGAGACTGGACTCCCTCTGTAGCCACCCTACCCTGGACGAGTTTAGAGGGTGGGGCTACAGCTAGTCCGGCTCAGAAAACTGGCGTTAAAAGCAGTGCAGAGACATTTGCAAAAAAAGAAGTGCAGGAGACTACACATTTCGCCCTCTTTTTACCTGTTCCACCTTCTTTGCTCAGCCCGGACAACATCAGGCTGGACAGTTTTCCCACAGTACAGAGAGAGGGAGCTTGGTGGCAACTTATGATGTCAGCTGCAGAGACACAGCCCTAAAATTTTCTCCTGCAGGACCCTTGCTTGGTGGCTGTGCACCTTGGAGTCGGTTCTGACTCCAGGCAGCCCTGTGCAGGGTTTCTGGGGCTGTGGGTCTTTGAGGGAGCGGAGTACCTCGCCTTTCTCCGCGGTGTGGCTGGTGGTTTTGAGCTGCTGACCTTATGGTTCATGGACCCATTCATGGCCGCTGTCCTACCCGAGCTCCCTGTGCAGGACCCATATAAAGCAATCTGTAAAATTCCAACATAAAAGGATTCAACCACCTTGAGAATTGCGCTGTGCACACGCAGATACTAATTGACCTTCAGAGACAAAATAGTGGACAATCTTTCTCCCATTCCCATTAATTTCTCAATATCTACCTGCACACCTCTACTGAAGTGACTAGAGGAGGGGCCTGAGCGAGCAAACCCTCACACACTGCTGGCGGCTTCTACCTTGCACACACACTGCCTGAGTTGCTCAGGACACTCAACCACAGGTTCATTTCTGTTCCAAAGGGGTGGTTTTTGTCTCTGCACTCATATTACTTCTGCTTTTGGTCCTTTTGATCACACATCTTTCCTGGAGGAGGGAGCTTTTTCTCCCTATGTTACCCAAGAAGAGACAGCAATCGTGGCCATATATCCAAGCTATAAGCATAACCCATAATATTCCACCACTCAGACAAGAGCCAATAACACCTACTAAGCATTACATGAGAAAAGGGAAGCCTATCTCCTGATCATATTCACCAGGAGATACCCACACCTACTTAATAACAAGCTTAATAACAAACAACAAACACCTACTTAAGCTTAAAAAAACCCCACACACATAACTATTGGAAATGACAAACAAAAAACAACAAACGATATCTAAACATGTCCCAAAACAGAAGAAAGTAGCTGAGACAAATGAGCTGGAGATAGACAAAGGCTTTCTAGAGGAGGAAGAGCATATTTTGGATATGTCTGAGAAAGAATCCAGAAGAATGATATGGAAACAAATTCAAATGCTCCAAAAAGGGGTGGAGGAAAACAGGGAAGAAGTCAGGAAAGTACTACAGGAGCAATCAAATAAGATTGATACAGCATGGGAAACAATTCAAAACCTGCAAAAAGAGGTCCAGATGATTAATAATAAGATATCAGAAATGGACAATACATTGAAAGGGGAAAGAAGCAGAATAGAAGAGATGGAAGCCAGAACTAGTGAGCTGGAATACAATTCTAAATTTTGCTAAGATAGAAGAGCAGCAGAAAAAGGATAAAAAATCTTAAGAGAGTCTACGATTTATGCTGGATAACATGAAGAGGAACAACTTAAGAATTATTGGCATTTTGGAACAGGAAGAATCAGAGAAGTCCACAGAGGAGATAGTTGAAGAGCTTCTGGAAGAAAATTTCCCTAACATCTTGAAAGATGAGAAGATAAACATTCAAGAAGCCGAATGTACCCCAGGAAGGA